ATAGGATCGGAAAAATCGTCCCTGAGTAGGTGAGCTCGAACATCTGCAGGTAACCTCTTAAGAAAAGCTCCCAGGAGAAAGAAACATGGTTTATGACCAACTGGTAACAGGGCCAACATACTTGACATCAGCTTTGATGGCTTCATATCTCCAGACAATGGTAAACTAGAGATTGCTTCATACCGTTGAAAATCATTGATAATCATACCCATGAAAGGATTGGATTTCGAGATCAAACTTAAATATTAACGACTATTAACTCCGGTTCATTTTAAGTACAAGGCCGACTTTTAAGCAGCTAAAACAAGCTGTACCATAGACATCAGCAATATTGGAACTGCGCCCACCCCTCATCGTGGGTTTGTACATTAAGACCTAAAAAAAATAATCAAAAAAGGTCGTCCCTTAACTGTTGATGTCTGACGAGTTAATGTCGATCGAATAAATCTACAAAAATAAAAATGTTCAAAAAAAGTCATATGTATGTATTTTTTTGGAAATTTAATGCTGAATTCAAATTCAAATTCTTGCTCTAGCTAGCTAATTCAATTCCTAATTTTTTATTTGTTTCCAAATTCGAAGATAAATGATTTCTTTTTACAATACTTTTTTTTGGAGATTCATTTTGTATTGTGAACCTCGGCATCTAGCATTTATTTTTTTACCCTTTGCAATTTTACATATTATTTAAATTCATCTTCAAAATCCCGTAAAAGCCATACCCTGCTAATGTTTACTATGGGATCAAGCATTGTGTATCAAATTTAAAAGTGTCCACATTCTATATCGAGATTAAACTTTTCAAATTATTGTATCCACACACAAGATTCAACTCAAGCTTTTTTACAAACAGTTGTTGAGACAAAAAATTATGAAATATTGAAATATATATTAACATTTTTAAGAGTGTTCTTTTGTTTTGATTTTTAACATCAAGTTTTATGTTAAAAGCGTTGCCCGTGGAAAAAAATATTTCAATTTTTTTATCCTATAACAACCTCCGGCCATCCATGAGTGTCCACAAAAAAATTTAGCCCTATCGGTTCAGCCGTTTGGCTGGCTATAGACAACATATATATGTACGAATGTCTTGTTTTCTTATATAGATTATATGTTTTTTAGTATTTGAGATTACAAGGTTTTAGTCAGCTGCTCTTCTTGTGAAAGAGGGTATTATTTTTTAGTTTTTATAATTGATACCCCTATGGATTAAGAACACAAGATAATGATAACAGATATTATTACTTATTAAAGCATTATTCTATCCAATAAAGCCCCTTTAATCTTAAGATTAATAATATACAGGGCTACCTTCAAAGAATGAAAGTGTAAAGACGAACTAAAACTCTTAAAATATGACGATTTTAAGGTTACATTATGTATCTTGCCTTTGTCTTCTTTTTTTAACACTTTGAATGATTTGATCGTGTAGTAAAGCGTCAAAGGTGTATTTTAATAGCATCAAAAACAACAGTTGACAGCATCAAAAGCAACAAGTAATCAAATTAGATGCCTTATACATTCTTTTTCAGAAAAAATTTTCAATTTCCAGAACATTGCTTTTGCTTTTCCCTGTGCTTTTTCAGATGGATTTAACACCACAAATATTTCTTCATAAGTTTAAAACAAGAAGAAAGAAATTCTTGACTTTTAAGAAAAACCTGAGAAAGTCAAGTGTTGTTAAGAGAGGAAGAAGATTCCATATTTCCCCCCTCCCCTCCTCTTTTTAGAAATAATGACGAATAGTATTAAAATTAATTATTTAAGCCCAATACTATGATACTATCCAATAAAACGACAATTAATTTACAATAAATACAAAGCTACCCGGCCACAAGAAATTAAATTTTGACGACGACTTAATGCTGCAAAAATACGGAAATTAGAAAATTTGAGTTTGTGACAAAGGCTCAATTCCTTTCGGTTAAAATATTAAATAAAATTTGTTTTACTATTGTCTTGAATAATGACTGATATTATTTGAGTGTTTGTGAACAATTGGGAAAATTGAAATGAGCTTCTTAGTGGGATTCTTCCCCCTTCCCCCCCCCCCCCACTACACTAAACCTATTGTTTTCGGCCATTAGTTTCAACTAAAGAAAATACACCATGTAGAAATCCTTTCCTTTTATTTCTACAAAATATGCAAGTGAGTAAATAAATAAAGAATACTAGCTAACTAGGTTACTCATAGCTACGTTTGCTGTTTTCCCGAGCTTGGTCTTAAATCATGATTTTAACTGTGCCTAAGTAACCCCCGGGGTGCCCAAGGGTTCCCTCAAAAAAAGTATGCCAATTTGGTTTAGCTGTTTTCATTAAAATTTTTGTTTCAATCTTTAAATTTTTTTAATTTTGATAGATATCATTTATATATACACATTTTTGCTTTTCATTGGAGTACCAAAAAAAAATTACAAAGGAATTGAATTTTTGCCACAAACTCAGATTTTCCTATTCCTAAAACTTAGCAACCCGTTTTCCTAGACCTTTAATATTTCAAACTATTAATTCTGGTAGATCAAATAGTCTAAGTTTGAAATATCAAAGGTTTACACCATCAGGTTGCAAAGATGGGGTTAGAAAATATAAGTTTGTTGCAAAAACTCAATTCCTTTTTAAAAAATAATGAACAAAAACACCATACAGGAGAGTTGCACAAAAAAGGTACAATTTTGCACCAGGCGCCGCAAATCACACTTTTTTGGACTCACCCTGTATATATGCATGAAATATTTAATAACCTTTCATAAAGGTTGTCGAAATACATTCTATATCCTAATAACATATTAATTTTCTATTTTTAAAAGTAAGAGATATTTCAAAGAAATATGAGGCATATCATATGCCAACTCAGCACTATTTTTATTTACATTCCAAACTAAAACTTACATCTTTGAATTTTTTAATATTAATATGAATTATTTTTGCAATAGAACCTTTTTATTATCTATATATATAAAATAGAAATTTCTGTTTGTTTGTCCGATCATAACTTAAGATTCCCTTAACTTGGTAAAAACACAAGACTGTTTTTAACAATTGTCACGCACCCCTTGACCCTTCAGTAAAAGTAAATTCAACCTAAAGTCTGACCACGTCAACCTTGTTGCACCGGCTAGTCCNCTTAACAAGAAATATTTACATGTATTTACAATCATTAGTAATAAATCCTAACTTTTCTTATCAAGAAATATTTACATGTATTTACTATCAGAAGTAATAATTCCTAAACTTTTACATTTAAATATCTGAAACCGTTTCGAAATTTGGACACACGCTGAGTTCACTTTTGTTTTACGGCATTTTGGAAAATATTTGAGAGATAAACACACAGAGTCTTCCAGCCTCAATGATTAGTTTAAGGTTAAAGAGGTTAATGTAAATCAGGTATTGTTATCTTTAAACAAAGGATTACTCTGTCAGTCCCTTTATGTATAGTGAAATATGCTTAAACTAATTTTTCTCAGAGTTGAGTCTAAATATATTTTAAATATTTCAAATAGTTTAATATTAATCCAGGCAGATTGTTTTTCCTGAGTTTGCCACATGAGGGGTGCAGTAGAGAGAAATCAAATTTAAATGTTTAATTGCTGATGTCAAAATATGCCAAAGTTTCGCCAAACACATTTTAGCAATTATTTTTTACATTTTTAAAAGATTTTGCTCGGTCTCGATGTTCTGATTTTAAAATAATATTGTTGAGGCTCGAAAATTTGATTTTAAATGTTTTTGTTTAGACTAAAAGTTCTGATTTTAAAATAATATTGTTTAGACTAAAAGTTTTGATTTTAAAATGTTATTGTTTAGACTAAAAGTTCTGGTTTTAAAATATTATTGTTTAGACTCAAAGTTCTGGTTTGAAAATAATATTGTTTAGACTAAAAGCTCTGATTTTAAAATAATATTGTTTAGACTCAAATTTCTGATTTTAAAATAATATTGTTTAGACTCGAAGTTCTGGTTTAAAAATGGACTCAAGGATCTAAAATCATCCTTGAACAAGGAAAGAATTGAAGGAACAGCTAAGAATATTATTATATTTGTTGGTAAGTGTAGATTTTATTATTTATTGTATATTATTTATCTTTTAATGGGTGTGGGGGAAGGGCGGGGGTTTGCACACTTTCACCAATAAATTTTTAAGAGTTAAAAGTAAAAATGATTTTGTTTAGTAACTTTCATTATTTCTAGGGAAACCCAATTGCAAAACTATACTAAACCACTCCCTTTAATATATTATTTGTGATAAAATTAATTTTTATTTGTAAAAATTGTGAATCTATTAAATCAAATCTGGATCGTCATGATTCTTTGTGATTAACAAGCTGTTGAGCCATGACACTGTTGTTTACAATTTATTTACAACATGATTAATTTTGTTAACCCTTTTAGTAAAAGGAAGGGGGTGGGGGGTCCCC